TTAATCGTAAATTCCTTCTCTAAGGAAATAAGGGAGTTTTCACTCGGAGATCAATGACTTCCAGTGAAATTGAAAAGTAGGAGCAGCTTCGAGCCAGAGCGAAAGAGCTGAACGATGCCAACCCCGGCGATGGGAAGATTTTTGTTGCCTTCAGATAACAGGTAGTTGAGAAATCAGAATTCCTGGTATCATTAGTATGAGGTCAGGAACCTAAAAAAACTGGTTGTGCCACCCTGTATGCAAATTCCTTGTTTCCTTCTTGATGCGCGTACTAGAACTCGTTGAGCTCCCTCGCCTCATTTCATGCGATAAGCCTAAGGCAGTTTTTGTCATTAAAACGTGGTTCAACTCGAAATTCTCGGGAACTGAAATCGTTTCTGCGCTCCCTTACAAAATTGTCAGAAAAGACAGATTAAATAAACGAGTTGGTGGGCTTTGCCTTTGAGACCTGATCTCCGATTTGTGCTCGGTGTCATGTAATATTGTTCTGCTTGGTGATCTCAATCTAGACATTGAAGAGCTTAAAAAGATTCTAAGGATGTTAGAATGCCAAAAAACAAATAACCTTCCGTTTCGACACCCGCCATTGGCCGAGTTACCTCGCAGACGAGTCGTACGTTCACGACCATTTCAAGAAGTCGGACTCGACTTATTCGGCCCGCTGAGAAGCCGAAATACAAACGGAATCCAAACGAAGCTGTATGGATGCATTTTCAATTGCGCAACAACACGCCTACTGCACATAGAACTTATCGGCGACAATACAACAATCTCATTCATCAACGCACTGCGAAGATTCATGTCACGAAGGGGAGTACCTAAGGGGAGTACCTCAGTGACGTGCGACAATGCGCCTACATTGGCAACCTCAAGGATCAAGAAAAGTGAATGCATGATATACGACAAACTGGTTAAACCAGAGACATCAACAGCTAATCCCATAATTCAACTTATCGAAAACGCCACCGACAAAATGGATAAACTTAAAAAGTTGACTGAATCCAGCATCCAAAGGATCAAAGAAAAGATCGATCAACGTTTCGATGACCTTATACAGACCTGTCGAGCCGCTTGACACAGGAAACTCATCCAGCCACAAGCAGTCAGCTATCAAACCCAGACGACGAAAACAACAATCTACTACGGAAACGAAGACACGAATCAACGAGGAGGACATCGCCCATACCGTATCGTGTCACTCGCGAGGAGGAAGCTCCTGGGACTCGCAGTATGCCCACTAAGAAAGCTCGGAGAAGCATCAATGACCACGACACATCCAGGCATGCCATATCCATTCTGCGATGGCACTGCTACCCAGACACATGCCCAATCGTTCCTACAATCGAACATAGGATGCTCGAACTAAATCGTAGAAGACTGTGCAAGAAATTTTTGTCCATGTGCCGAGGTAAGTCATGCGCGACCACCAAGTGCTAATATTGTCATATGAGAAATTACCATACCTCATTGTGCTACCTACGGGACGCAAAAAATGGCAGATCATCATCGACGACTGGCGTTTTCACCACGACAAAAGATACGAGTAAAGCGACCTGAGGACCAAAAATGCCTAGAGGAGTGTGCTCGATCACACTTATATCGACCATTTTGATCTACGACGAAGAGCGAATAGAGTCGACGCGCAGAAACCATCTACGATAGGCAGTCTTTTGAACGGGCCCAAATTTCCATGAAAGTTAATTTACTCGTTTCATTCATCCACCGCGTGTGGCTCACCTTTAGCCTTTTACTAGTTTGTCTCTTCTCCCCGACATTGGGCCGCGGTATTCTAGTACTCGTTTGTTCTTCTTGCGGCGTATGCCACACCATTTTCATTGTTTCCTTTTCTGGCGAAAGCCACAGTACTTCATGAAGTTGTCAATCTTACGTAAGCCATAGTATTTCATTGCCTTTTCTTCCGCCGAAAGCCAAAGGATCTCACTCACTATTTCGTTCATTGTCCCTGCGCAAGCCGCAGCATTTCTGTCATCGTTTCTCCTTACAGCGTAAGCCCATTGTTTCATTACTCGTTTGTATTTTTTCTTTCACGGCACCAGGCCGCAATGTTTTATGTTTGTTTCTTTGTCCAGCGTTAAGCCGCATCTGTTCGTTACATGTTTCCATCTGCAATACTGATCCATGTTCATTGTTCTCTTTATCGGCGTTTAGCCGCAATATATCACTTGCTGTCTCCTTTGGCGTTAGCCGCAGTTCCGTTGTACTCACCCACTAATACGAGTGTTTTTACGGTTGAAATTTACCTCACGATGCTCCATGAAGATATTAGCATATCTACTTCAAATTTTTTTTCATTCTGCAATTTCGTGAGATGAAATGAAGTTTAATTACCCAAGTTTGAGGTTGTACTGACTGGTGAATTACCCGTGCCATATCTGTCGTGTAGTGACAAGTGGCGCCCTTACCACGCGAGCGGTCCGGGATCAAATCCTGGGCCGTGAGCCGCCCGGGCCAACCAAGCCTTCCATCCCTCCGGGGTCGGTTAATTGGTACCAGACTTGTCTGGGAGGATAAAAACACTGACTTGTACATCGGCTGGCCCCCGCAAGTCATTGTATAGGCCACATCGCATTCAAAAGAAACTGCGAATGTACAAATGGAAGTAGAATGCGTACCGCATCCCAAGACGGGATTGATCAACGGCAAATGCTTTATCCTTATGCTTTATATCTGTCGTGTTGGTATTCATGCTCTGTTATTTCTGACGATATTCAGCGACCAGTGAAGTCCCGCGTGGCAGTATTCTATCCTGGTATACGAACTACTATCGGATCGACAACTCCGACTTGGTTATCCACCACAAAAGCGCCTTCCACGCGCGTGTTTCGGGGATCAAACCCGGACTGTACGCTGTTCAGACCAATTAGGACTTTTATCCCTACGAGGTCGCTTATATAATATCAGAGTTGTCTGGGAAGACAAAAACACTAACTCGTACACCAGGTTACTCACAAAAGTCATGATATAGGTCATCCCATTCAAAATGCCACAACGATTTCGAGTCAGAGAACGGTGCACGACGCATCCTAAGAGATGTTAGTCAACAGAACGTTTTGGTTTCTTTTAGGTTTGCTTATTGTAGCCGAGGTTTTCCGCTGCTGGTACTGCTCTCGTAAAAAGCGAAATTCTAAAACGAGCGCAGTGCAGTTATGGATGTCTCGCATTTCCCGTAATATTGTTGTATGCATGTCAGTACTATTAGCTGAAATGGGGCAATGGCAAAGCGTGCAGATAAGTGGTAGCTGCCGGCTGTGCCTCTGCGACACGTGCAGCCTAACCGAAGCCAGTAAATAACATACATGATGAAATACCATTTCGATTGGGAATGGAACGCGAGCATGCTGGCATATTAATCAGGTAGGTTAATACCTAACGCTTTCTCTTTTTGTTGATATTGGTAAATGCCTCAACAAAACTGTGCAGTGGCGAAACCCATTTCACTACTGCGAGCTGCCGTGCAGCCCTGCCACTATTGTTCCTTTCCCTAACTGATTACAGTCCTCTGGTTCCGGATAGACAGAAGTCTACAGGGTGGGCCAAAACTATGGCAACCAGGACATTAATCGCTAAAAATGAATATTAGCCTAATAAAACAAACGTACTTTGAAAAGGTGTTGGGGAGCAGTATCGCAAAGCAAAACAGGTTGGGTTCGAAATCGGTTGGCAGTCGCATTAAGAGAGGTCTTCAGATGAAGTAGGAGGCGTGGTACGCGGGCGAGAACCGTCAACCGTCAAAATGATTCCGACTTTTTTGTTATGCTCTCTTCAGGAAACCAGACCTTGCTAGGATTTTCACATGCTCTTGCCTCCAGGCTCACTATGCAGAAGATCAAGCAGCACTCGATAAACGATTCCTAAGAGCTTTGCAGCATTTCCGTCTTAAGCCCAAAGCCTTGTCCTACTGAAACGTCCAAAGTAATGGACTCACGTGTCATTTTGTCTGATAGACACAGGTTGTGTACTGCCAGTAACTTTAGCCTTCGAATCTTTCCATCTTAGGCGATTCATAATATATTGAAGCTTTCAACGATTACCCATAAGAGCTTCTTTGTCACGCTGAGCTGACGCTACATGGAGCGTGACAGACTAAATTTCGGTCAAATTTGGAGACTGGCATGTCGTGATGTGATTGTTTCATTAATTTTGAGAACTTTATGACATTTAGTTTCGTTAGGAAAGAGACATTGTCTTCTACCACACTATGCTCGAAAAGTAAGAGGAAACTGAATAGATCTGGAGAAAAAAGTGAGTTTGACCCGCCCCCATTTGCGGTTACTATGAATTTGGCCCGCCCTGTTTTTTGCTTTCCGTATCCACAACACATAATTACACCCTGGGACTGGAAAAAAATGTGAAACAAACCGAGCAAAATGGTCCACCACCGTGTGACCGGTGGTTCATCATATGCATGACACAGTCAACAACAATGAGAGGGGATACGAGCAATTCTTCAAAGAAAATTAAAGAATGATCAGTTTAACAAAAATTATTTTTGAAGAAACAAGTTATATCCATCCACGGCGCAACCCTTCTCCTTAAGCTTAATCATGATTCCGTTGCTTTCATGTTGAAGAAGAGGGGCGATGTGTACATTCAGCGGGGCACTACCGTTCAATCAGTTCATGCCAAAATTCATGCACTTGGTAAGTAAACTCATTATCAACTATAAACTCACAAACAAGTTTGTAACCATGTCAAAAGGAGGAAGATAAAAGAGAACAGACAATCTGAGAAAAAAAATTAACAAACAGCGGGTCTAAAAGGGGCAAGATGTCAAGCACAAAACATTCACCGTTTGAACCACTAAAACGGCTCCCTAATCAAATGAAACTCACAAAACAGCAATGCACAAACAATAACACCCAAAGAAAAAGACATGGTACTGTAGAAAATATAAATTTCTCAGATAAAAATTAGAGATCGCCAAAAAAGGAAACACGCTTATTATTACTTGTAAAGTGTAGCAATGCGAAAGACTTCTCTTAATAAGGATTCCCGCTTTTCCGATTTTTCTTCTCCTTTTTCTCTTTGACTTTCTCGGAAATATTCTTCACATCTTCCTTTGCCTCCTTCTTCCTTTCTAATTTACCTCCTTCAGGCCTGGAATGACACACCATTACCTTCTGTTAGAGTCGACTGAATGTAGAGGGACAATAGAGCCCTTTTCGAAGTCAACAGACAAGGAAGACAGTGACATCACGAAAATTCCAACCTCAAATCGACAGTCTTCACAACTATCTTCCCGTCCTCTCCTCCCGTGACCAAAACACGGTTATTGAAGGCGGCGCTGCGTACGATGTCTGTGTGACCTTTCCATTCCATAACAACTTCAGAGTGTTTGCCATCTTTTGACACCGTGCGGACATAAAGCTTAAATATGTCTGGTTTAGAATACATAATGATATTATGGTACAGTTCATACTCACTGTGCCTTCAGCGTCACACTCAATCAGCGCAACGGGTCGCTCATCAACGCCACCCTTCAGTGCGTCTACTAAAAACCGTCCTTCGGTCCCGTTTCGCCTGAAAACTTCCAACGAATTTTGGCAAACAGTCCGCAAGACTCAAAGCTACAGCATACATGAATAGGTAGTCCACATCATCAGGAGCATTTGGAACGAAGACCGAACATTTGTTGTCGTCGGTACAAGCATAAATGAGCCGTTTCGACAAACATCCCACGCGATTTATGGATGGACCGACCTTAACATTGTGACAATTATAAGCGCTACTCTGTTATTATGGGAGAATAACGAACCGAGCAAGTACTCTGCAAAGCTTGATCTTCTTTTGAACAAGAGGTGTTGAATATGTTGAGCAATCCATCCGATCCACCTGATATGAGGTGTTGTCCATCTCTCATGAACGCCATCGTGTTGATGGAGTCAGAATGAGATTCCTTTCAAAAGCATAATCAGAAGGTCATTAAAAGTCATTGTCATTAAAAACGCAAATACTAGACACTTGAAGCAGAAGTGAGAGTCATGGTGTAGTTGCTCAATTTCAGAGGCAAGGACAGCCGAGCGATTAAAGATATAGGCTCCAAGGCTCCAGCCACCCCCCCCCCCCGACTACATCTCTGGGAGCCACGAGTTCGATCTCTGCCGAGGCTTGAATATGCTCTGCAAGGCTTGCAGAAATGCACCACCATCAGGTACAAGCTGATAGGCTGGCTGATGAAGGGCCAAAATCACGACCTGAAGTCGAACAAGAATAAGTGAGAAAGCTAAGACGGCACCCAGAAGTGGAGCGCAGAACCCTCGCCTGAGCTTTGTGGTAAGTATGCGAGGGCCAGCGAGGAATGAGCGATCTCGGCTAAAGAAGCTAGAGCGAATTAGGTCACAAAACGTAGGGTTGCTAACGATAAGTAGAAAAGGCTGTCGATAATGACGAGCAGGAAGATCCAAATCTGACGGCTTCAGAAGACACGATGGGAAGGGGCTGAGGCCATAAATTGAAGAGGGGTCAAACCCTACTGCAAGAGAAATACACCAGGCAGAATGACTTGGCCAAAGCAGTGTAGGAGTCACTCCAGCACTATGTCTGTGCTGAGAAAAGAATCAGTGATCGAAGAAAGAGTGTAAAAATACTTCACAAGTATGCTGGGTTGTGAACAAAACTTTCGCCCCAGGCATGACTAGAACCCGCACCTCTCGCTTTCTGGGCAAGTGCGCTACCAGTTACGCTACCGGGGCACCATTTCATCCCAACTCAGCTTCTCATGGTTTACGTACCATAGCTTGTCAGCACTCACACGTCTAACGTATTGAGCCGGTTAGCCGATATCGGCAATGACCGCGAGGCTGAAAGCTTTAGCAGTGGATTTTGACTTGTTTTTATTACGTAAAAATAGTTATGAAGGAAGGGCACTGGACAGTACTGTCCGTGTACGCACTGCGATCCAGTGGACGTGAAAGCAAAAAGAAGTTCTATCTGAGCCTCGACAAAGCCAGCAAGTGGATTCGAGAAGGTGATTATCTTACCATTGCAGGTGAGCTCGATGGCCACATCGATAGTGACAGAGCAGGTTTGGAAATAAAGCACGGAGATAAAGGGATAGCAGCGAAAAGCGCCGAAGGAGTAAGAGTTCTGGTCCTAACTACAGCCCACAATCTGGCAGTCTGCAGCATGTTCTTCGGGATGAGGAAGAGCCAAAAAGAAGCGACAGCAATGGAAAAATACAAAAGGAAGTTGACCGTGAGCTCGTTTGAAAAATCATCCCTCAAAACTGTGAAGACATCAAGGTTCTTTTTGGCGATAAATTTGCTCCCAGCACTAGTGTCTCTTGATAGACATTGCCATCGACCTCTACGAGAGGCAAGAGTGAGAATCGGTCGGATATTCCGGGGTGGAAGCTGCATCAAACGAGGACCAACGAATTTATAAAAGCTGGTTTCCTAGATATACATGAACCAGTCCAGTGAACCTGGGTGAAAGCTGAATGAAAATCCTAATGAAGTAGAAATAATTTGGATGCACGTGTTCGTATGCGTAAACGTATGGACATCACACAATTTTGGCACCCGCTTGTTGAAAATATAGACGAGTAAGGTGTTCATAACTCGAAAACTTCAGGAAACGAATACAAAAAAAAACTCAGAAATGAAGCGATTTACTTCAAAAGTTGAACGAAAATTACCTTAATGGTCAGTACAGGATCGGTACATTTCCTGAGGTCAAAAACAGATATAACATGTGGGTTCAAGGTTGGGTTGACCTAAAAATGAAATAAGTTTATAAACCCAAACATTTCAGTGGAGCTGAAAATCACCTCATCTTCGTTCTCTTCAACTTCATCCTCATCATCATCACTTGTTTCCGTTTTCTGAATTCGAGTTATATACCGTAATCAATACTAGGTACTCGGAGACCACATCACGGAACATACCTTCGCCTTTTTCTTTGTTTCATCTTCTAGTAAGAAGGTAGAGCTTCCTAACGCAATGTACTGGTCAGAGCAAGCTGAACAAACAACTTGATGATTCTCCATCAACGGATTGACCCTGAAATTTGGTTAAAAGGATGTGTGAGGAAATATTTTATGCAAGCGACATTTACCCTGAACCTCTACCTTTACGATCGACGGACTACTTGAACTCGGCCTTTTAAGCTGCCCCACTCGACGCTTTCGTCTGCGCTCTCTCACCCTATCAGCGGCTCATCACCACTGCGATCTCACACATTAAAACTTTTGCCACAATGCACCCACCTCGGATTCCCTCCCCCTTACAAGGCTTAGTCCTAAGGCTCCCACCACCCTCCTTGGGATTTGGAGCCATTGTCTGTGCTCTACGCCATCCGTGGCAGGATCATAGACGAAAGTGCAAGTAGTCCGTAAACCCTACCTTTACATGGGATTCTATGAAAGATTTAGTTCCAGTGAAATATCAAACTGGTACTCTATCACACCTCTCCTCTACTACCTTGTCCCATTACAAGATCCATACACTGGTCAGTCATCGTATTACTATCAAACGTCAACGTAATCACAGAGAGTGGATGTGCGCGCATCACCATTAGGTCGCTTTAGTAAAGCCCTAGACGGAGGTAAGTAAAGTATTCCGCAAACCCACAGCATGTACCAACAGTGCCTCACAAAATTATCAGACAACGCCGCTAAGGGATAAGGACGTGCCAAGGGCTCCATATGACGGCCAGGATTCCACGGGATTGACATCATAGCTTGCGCCCGCTCTCGATCGTATCAATGTTTTCTCGCCTCCAATTCTTTTCTCTCACCTATACGCCCCATTCCTTCAACCCACTTTTTGCCTCTTACGATTAGACCATCCACACTCACATTAAACAGGTCCTCTGTCCACTTCGCACCACATTTCGTTTTTGAGCGAAATAACCTTATCAATTGGCCACGTGGAGTCCCCCCAGTATCAGGATGGTGATCACTACGGCTGGAGGGTGGTGCAGTTTTGATCACGTCACGGTGTATGAGCGTGAAGAATTCCAAATCACCCCTCCCTCGCCAATGGAAGCACGACAACGATGCACTCAGGATTCAGCGTGAAAAGTTGTAATTCAGAGTTGTGAAGCGAGTTCCTCACACAGAACGCTAACATGATGCTTTCGGAACACAAGGTAAGAAGCTCCTTCACGAGAAAAAAAAACCTCACCTAGACTTCTTTTTTGAACCAGCTCGAATGTCGAACAAGTGGATACCGAAGGAATCGTCAACAGCTCGGAGAACTGAAAACCTACGTTACTGCCTTATTTAACTTAATGGAGAATAGTTCTTATAAAGGTGGGAGCGAATTTTTGACTGATACGAGGCGACTTCGAATGAGAGTGGACGATTTAGTCTAGGCTGTGGAACAGCGTGATGCAAAACGAGCACAGAGCCTTTCAAGATTTCTACTGAGACCTAAAAAAAACTAGGATACTTTCCTTCAGAGGAATGTGCTTTCATTTTTGAAGCTCAGATTAAAATCATTCTCTTTGAAAACGCAGTTTCACCACATTTTCGAGGCGTACAGTTTCCAGACGTGAACAACGCATCAAATGCTTTTCCAAGGAAAACGAACATCAATGCTCGTTCATGTAGGGTTTGATGTACGCTTAAGTCTTCCAAGCCATGTACTATATTCCAGTAAAGCCACAACTGACAGCTAGAAGTTAGTAAAGATGCTACTTATCGCACAAGGCCCATCTATCACTCCAGGGGCTGAAAGATGTTACAGCCAAACAATATGTTCTCTTCTTTTCGCAATTTTTCCAAAGGGCAGCTCCAGCGAAAACTGAGCTCCGGTTTTGTGTCCAATCTTAGAACCCGTACAAGCATGCAAAATCACTCTACGCCCGTCACTACTACCCTTGCAAAAGGGAGCAACTTATCCAAAGTCATGCTGCTTCAGAAATTAACAGATTTTTAGCGTGCATGAACTCTAGCTTTGCAAAACGGAAGGGAAATTTTCTCATCCAGGGGTTTTGCTCCCTCTACAAATTTTATTACTGTAGGGAAACGTACTCCTGTAGAAGTCCTTACCTTATCATGGCAATCAGACCATGATCTGTTAGTTCACTTTCTCTTATTTGCGACCACATATCCATTCCATTTCTAGAATTAGTCCATTCAATTACAATCCAAACTGAGACTCCTATCATAATTTGATCACCCGTTTGTCATTCACACTCCGTCATTCTATTTGGCACACGCACCCATTTTCATAATTCGGCGACCCCCCCCCCCACATTCTTTCACGATTTCCGTAACGCGGGCAGCGGCGAGCGCCAGCGAGTCGTTAGTGCCGCGAAGTGTGCTTGGAAAATTTTGAAAACGCAACCCCACACAATTTGCGGGGCCACTGTGGCACTGTGCGTCCCGCGTCTGCCGCGGCCGCGTCCCAAATGGCCGATGTCAGACTTTGCGATTGGAGTGATTTTGCACCAATTGCAGGAGCGATGGATCGCTTGAGCGATGCGAGCGACGGGAGATTTACCCCGTCGGATACCGATACACACAGCGCCGCTCGGGTAAATCGGGATTTACCCGAGCGGCGCCGTGTGTATCGGCTCAAGTGATCCGTCGCTTCTGCAATTGGTGCAAAATCGCTCCAATCGCAAAGTCTGACATCGGCCAATGTGAAGAAAGTGGGGGAGCCATAATTCATTCATTAGAGTGAGCAACGTAAGATTGATGGCGTGTACCTAGATACTAAGCCTGGATGGAGATAAAATGCGAGGACTACTCTTGATGGATTTATAAATGACAAGCCAGTAAATTCTTGAATATGAATTCGACTTGTGAGCTTCTGAGAACGTTACCTGGGCTTCCCGTCAGATCGAAGTGGATCCCGACAACCCTCTTAGCAACATCTAGAGTCTGCTTTGACTTTCTTGCTTCTAAGTCCACGAGATGAATGAAGTCGTTGCTCAGTGTGGCTGCTACTGCATCTCTTCCACCGAACGATATATGGTTTACGTATACCTTAACATACCTTGAATATGAACCTCGTATACCTTGAAGTTTCTTAACATGAATTGCAAAGAAAACATTTTTAACAGAGGAGTGGCCCGAAAATTTCTCAATGCAATGTGAGAGCAATTAAAAGGACGCTTGCTAAGAAGCGATGGAATTTCCGAAGTTATAGCTACTTCTCCATGAAAAAAAAAACTTGCTTAGCTACGGGCATGTTACATGTCATGTTATGAATTGGGTGTGGGATCGCTGGGACAGAAAGTGACTTTTCCTTCGCAACGTTAAACATATTTCGCCATCTAGGCCCATCATGACCGGCGGTGGACCTGATTTTTCAGTGGAGAGAAGTTTTTGCACTGTGAAACGCGGAGGAGACTTTCTGTACTGGCAAACCAGACCTCAACAGGCAGTATGTCAAGTTTGCGGCCTTTCGCTCAGCTCCGCTATGACGGCCCTAAGGGAATAACAGGAGTACGCCTGAAGTATGAACGAAACGAATGATTTCCTTGTTTTCGATGGCAGCACTTTAAGGATGTTTAGAGGAGACGTGGTTGCTCAATGGTACACCAGTGGCGAAGAGGCAGAGAAACCCGTCAACAAAACGCAAAACTGGACCCCCTTCTTTGGCCGTTGGCCTTTTTCACCCATGAACAGGTAACAGCTCAGAAAGCGGACTCTTATGAATGAGTTCATCGCAAAGCGTTTGGCGGCACCATGCCAAACCACGCTCCAATCGAGAGCCCCAGTTTACCGCTGCTGGCAATGCAGCTCATCCAAATCACCACCTTAACTAGTGGGCGGATCGCTTTTGGGGGCGGAGTGCTTTCGAAGTCTTACTCAGCAACCATCGCACCTTTCGTCGTGAAAGCGCTAAACCTCGCTTCTCTAGCAACCAAGTACGGCCGATGTCATAGTTCGCTAACCGACCGATTCACTAGCAAATCGCTGGAACCGAGCGCTGAGCCAGCGACTCGAACCTTGCACCAGCGAGTCGAACGATGCACCAGCAAGTCGAACGATGTACCAGCGGCTCGATACTGTTTGAAAGTGGCGGGACTTCCTTTAACGTTGGGTCCCGTCACTTTCAAACAGTGTTGGGGCACTGGTACATAGTTGGACTCGCTGGTGCATCGGTCGATTCGCTGGCGCAAAGTCCGAACCGCTGGTTCCACATCGATTCGCTGGCGCAACGCTCTGATCCAGCAATTCGCTAGCAAATCGCTCGAATCGCAAACTGTGGCATCGGCCTAACTGATTCGTGTGCTGCATATGCATCCCTATGCGCTTGCCCTTTACGCAATCGCTGCCTTTAAATGAGCTTCCCTCCGTATAATTTTTTCAATATTGGGCAGTGGTAATTTATTGGCAAGCTTGAAGGTCAAGTTTCAGCTAAAATTTCGCCCAGGTCTCCAATCCCTTCGAAATCGATGATGTTGAATAAAACACAGAATCAGGTGACCTCGCAATTCATTGCATTGGCCAGAGCGCATTTAATTGCCAAACCGAACAAGAATGGAACTACAATGCGTGGCGCGTCTTAAAAGGATCGATAAAAGGTTAGTGCAAGAAAGCACTCTTTATTATAGTTACCTTTCTCCACTGGCAATGGACTTTGAAGCGGACGATTTTCACAAGAGAAACCTGTATGAAGTAGCTTGATACATGCCATCTTTCCCTCACAGTGAAGTGAGAGATTTACGATCCACATCACCACAGTTGAAGGTTTGAATGACGGGTAAGGAAATATTCGGCTCCCCCACTTTCTTCACGATTTGGGGCGCGGCCGCGGAAGACCCGCGGCGTTCGTGGCCGAGTAGTGCGGCATCAGCTTGCCTGAGTATTCGACGTTACATTACGTCGTGACGTTCAGATGAACTAACACGTAATGTAACGTCGAATACTGAGGTAACTGATGCCGCACTACTCGGCCGCGAACGCCGCGGGTTTGCCGCGGCCGCGCTCCAAATCGTGAAGAAAGTGGGGGAGCCGAAATATTCAAGTACGAGATCGGGCTTATTAGTCACCGATTGAAGTCTCCTTCTTCCAAAAGCCTTGATCGGAAAATGGACAATTCACTTTCAAAGTCATTGGTTAAAATAGCAAGAGGATGGAAATGGGTTGCCAGAGATTTCAGTCTGAATGTGACTTTTGCTGTAAACACGAAAGCGTGCACTTCTCACATGGTACGTTTTCATCATCCTTATCTTATGTATGCTTATCTTATCTTATGACTTCATGTGATTTACAGAATTTTAAATGGATACCTCTGGACGGCTAAGCGTGATTACCACTGGTTCATCCATCACTAGCTTTTGAACCTGAAAAGCAATCAAGGCACTATACAAATGCACATGAAACAGCAGAGCTCAACATCGTGTAACGTCTACAACCTCTATTCTGACTGTGAAATAAAAACAAGAAAAAATATGGAAAGAGGAATATCATTCGAGTGGAAAGACCGCTCCCTTCACGATAAAAGCCATTTCTTTAAAAGAAAAAGTGAATTTAGCATTTTGAAGCGATTTTATTCCTTACCACACAATTTCTGTACGTCATAAGAGTGTGTGACTGTGATTGCGTACGATATGGCATGAAAGACGTTTGTACTTAGTTCTCGCCCCTTGCGAACTCCTGTGGCTGTTTTCATCTTTTGTCGTTTGGTTTCTTTTCTGAAGAACGCCGTCTCGACTCTAATTTATAATCTGAAACTTCCGAACTGCTTTCAAGGGCTTCCGTTTATGTCAGCGAGTGGAGGCTTGTCGAGAGAAGAATTTCTAGTTTTACAAGAGCAGCTGATCGCTCTGCGAAATAGAAATTATGAACTTCAAGAAGCGTTGCAAAAGAAAACTAATGAAGTCTCCCAGCTGAGTTCACCTAGATCCGAAGCACTGCAATTTGCTAATAAGGTTAGATCACATTGGACGTAATTGAGTGTGTGGCTTCTGTATTTTTGTCTTTTTTAGCTTATAAACCGTCGTGAAGGAAATAAAGAGAAGGAAATAGCTCAAAAGTATGAAGCCGAGCTCGATGCGCTAAGAATGAAGCTGACCTCGCAAGAGGAGGAATTTCGCCTGCAGCAGGAGACCTTAATAACCGAACTGAACAAGGTAGTTTGTACTTAAGGTTTCTTTGGAGCTCACAAGTCAATCTACGCCATTTTGTTCTGATTTTATCGCCCATTCATTTCAGATAGTTTTCCAAAACGAGGCTTTGAACAAGGAGCTCGAACAGTTCAAGGCGGACGGATCTATTTATTCATCTCCACAAGCTGGTTTGCATTTTTCAACATTTTTATGCTGCTCCTCCATGCTCGTATTTTTACCAACAATTTCATTTCTGGACATCACTTCAGGAACACCGTGTGAGCCACAACCATCGTTTGCGGAACTTAGTGAAACTGTAACAATAAGGTCTCGTGACTCATCCAGTGGAATTGCGGCAACTTCCACATCCTCTGTTGGTATACAGTGTGTCGGAACACTACATTGCAACGCCGGTATTTTTATGCGATTCTTAGATATTCTTTATTACCAGATGGGTGTCTGCTACACTTATTATATTTGCTACACTTATTATATCTGTAAATGCGCATTTTTGTTTATGGCTGAGGTGTTTTGGTGGTCTATTCTATGACTTTTTTCTGGAATTCGTGCTCCCACGATTACGTTGACACAGGGTGTTCCATGAATGGAACTGAGCGGATAGCATGGTTTTTTGGTGCTTAACTTGTTTGGAGGGGGCACGCGCGGCGCGGCATCTGCTCACCTGCATCTCGGAAATTCCGTGAGCCCAGGAGTGTAGCCAGTTCAGGGAGGTGGGGTGGCAGTCACTTGAATGCGTGCAAGCTGAAATTTCCGATTTTACACTGTCTCGTTAAGAGAGCTCAGTGATCGAGCATACAAGACTGCCGCGCCCCGCGTGCAACCCCGCCCAATCTAAGTTAGCACCGTTTTTTTTTTATAATGCTGAATCCTGCCTGTTAGCGATTAGAAGGAGGATCCTCGATAGTGTGAAGGTCGAGAGGAGATGGCGCACTAATGACAAAGACGATGCGAACGTTAGGTTGCGGACCGACACGCATTCGCAGCGTGATGTGCACGGCGATCTAACAGCGGGCCACCCCGCGCCATCAGCTCAAAACCCCCCGGTGAGGTAAGCTCTCGCGCATGTAGTTCTTATAGTCGTTCTCGTATAGGCGTTAGCGATTAACGAATATCATGATGGAGTCGCATCAGCGCTGAAATCAACGGCAAGGAAGGACTCTCATTTCTCGGCTCTGATGCCATTGTCATGGTTTTTTTTTTATCCGCAAAATCACCCATGATAAATTAGATTCACTAGCTCTTTAGTTTAAATCCTCGCTATGCTTGCTCGTTAGCGCGCTTATTTTCGATCGAAGCTGCACCCATAGCTCTCGCTACTATCGGGGATTGCAAAATTCACCTCTTATGCTCATATCCTATGAAATTCCCGGTGCGATGATGTAATTCATTATGAAAAAAACAATCGTTTCCAACACAGCTACATTTGTACTGTATGGTGGTAGTTCGAGTAAAGGCCCTTCATAAGGCCTGAAAGCCCTTTTCCAAACCAACATCACAAACTATCACATCACAAACTCCAGTGTCACAAACCTGTTCAGTCACCTCACGTTAAGCTTTTCTCAGCGTTAAAGTTCAAAAAGTAGTGAATAGTTTGGACGTAAATCAATATATTTCACGCGTTAGATGAAAGAGGCAGGTTGGTTTGCGCAATGCTTTCAGTCAGAAGTATATTTTGGTGCTACTCTGAGTATTGAAGTAAAGTAGTTTTGCAGAGCTATGCCGACGATCGTCTGTCTATCCCAAGTGAAACGAATATCGTGTCAAACTGATGAAGGGCGATCGTGGCCAGCGTGTGGAGAAACAAGTTACTGGAATACAAGGAGGACCGTAAGCTGCCTACTGTAATGGCTCTTTTGAAGGACGGGTCAACGCTGTTGCTATCAAAGAGGATCGCAGCAGTTCTAACAATTGAAAAGTTCAGGATCATCGAACTATGAATTGGTCATGTCGCATTTGCCATTTGCCCACCCTGTAGACATAACCAATGTCATACAGCGGGCCGAATGACGACTCGAGCATAACCCTTTGATATCAGTAACACGGTACAGCGCTGTCACTACGTAACCAATCGCCTCAGCAGTCGCCATCGTAGTGTTTTCTGTCGGCTCGCAAGTACATCTTTGGGCTTTTTTTAATTCGCTTTCTCTTGCCATAACTCCTTTATTGAATAATAGCAGGTGACATACCATGAAGGAAACCGGTGGTTTGATTCCGCCCTAAGCAACCTAATGAAACTGAGAAAGTTCATTTCTTAGGTTTACACCCTTTCTCCTCTTTATAGGGTTGCTTAGCGGACATGAGCACATTTTCCCGAGTCCCTTATGCACTCACACTGCTACCCAGAGTGAGATGTATCAACATTGCTCTTCACAATTGAATGCTCTCAACTCTCGTACTGAGGAGCTGCGTAACCGAGAATAACAAGAATAACTATACCCCCCTTCGTTTTTGAATGACGCCAGCTTGCGAGTATCTGTAAAAAGCTATCTTTCTGAAAACACGAGGCTGATACATAGTTGCAGGAGAAGGAGGCTAAAGATAGTTTCTCTGCTAGATCCAACGAAGCTGTGAATGCCGATATTGCTAAGTGAGAGTTTTCAAGTCAGCGTACATTAATTTCACTGCAGCATTTTGTTCAGAAAGATGAATTTCAATTCCATGCTTTACGGCATTATCGATATAAAAGAAAGCTACTGAACAGAAAGCGCTCTAATCCAGATTGCGTTGATGGTGAACAACTAGATAAGGAAGTTCTATGATCTCTTTTGAATACATTTCAAGAGCTCGAACACAATTTCTAACGGGCTTTGAGAGAAGGTGAGCGTGCAGACTGTTCAGCGAAAGTGCATAGCGGGAGAGACCAAAAAATATCTCAAGAGTGTATTGTTTTCAGGCCGCTACAGAATGTTGGCTGTCAAATCTCCAGGCAAAATTGAACAACTGTGCAAACCAAACTCTCCAGGTAGAGATGCTCGCGGAGTGGAGAGAACTCCGTGCAAGCGAAGTTCGTGTGTTTAGTCAAGATATATGTGTTATATTGCTTGAATTTCTCTTATGGGGGAGAAAGGGGTATTCTCTTTTCAGGGAAATCAATTCACTTCTCAGCCAAAGTGCCACCCCCCTTAAGGTGCAGGAAGCTCATGATTCTGAACTGAAAACGATGACAAGGAATCATCGACTACATGTGATGAGTGTGTTGCGAAGTTATTTTAAATGTTTGCTGAAAATTTCTCTCTTTTTTAGCTAAGAGCCAAAATTGCTGCACTGGAAGAGTCAGATAGCAAACTTTCTGATGACAAACTTTTGCTGCTTGAAACTCGATATCAACTCGTACGTCCGCAGGTTTTCTTATGTTTACTTTCGCCGCGTAATATGAGCTCTATTCATTTTCAATTTAGGAGTTAGCTGACCGTGAAAAAGCGTTTAAAAGTGAAAAAGAGGAAATGCAACGGAAGATGTGCTCTTTGGAGTCTTCACTATCAGCCAAGGACGAAGAAAAGGTTTGATAAGTTGTATGGATTAGCTAAATAGCTGATTTGTCATTTTGCCTTCACTTATCCTTCGTATTATCTTTCAACACTAGGCATTGGCACTGAAGAAGCAGGCGGCTCTAATCAAAGAATTGCAACGTGCTGTCAAAGAAGAAAAGAAACGCGCTGAATCTATGGAGAAGCTCGGTCGTTGCTGTTCCGAAGAAAGAGGGTGGCATTTAGTCGGAGAAAGTGGTGCCAAAAGTGCACAGGTACACTCTTTAGCTGTCTTTGGAACGTACTATTCTGTTAATTGGAATACCTACCGGCAATCATTACACCTCAATTGTGGGTTCAAAACCGCGTTCCCAAATCTCCAACTCCGTCGCAAGACCATGATTCTGGTATGACTTCTACTCTTACTCTTGCCTTTTGCTTCTTCGGAGGGCGTAATGCAGCGCCTATTTTTGTTTAGTTAGGAGGATCGCGGTAGGAGAAGTGGAGCAGGAGAACGAAATTGAGCTCGGTCTGTTTTATCTTCCAGTCATCCCTGAAATCAGGACAAATAATGCGTAAATGTGTTGGTTGTTGGTACTTATGTGGTAACGATGTTGTTATTACGTCCCTTTACGGCCTATGAATTGATAACTGAACCAGTTGGCGCGGCATGCGTTGCGCGTACAACACAGTTCTGCGGCGTCGTGGGTTGGTGCGACGTAAATTCTTAAATTTGGCTCGTTACGCTCCGAATACGACTTCTAAGCTAGATTCTATCCGCTCCATCCATCGATGGCTTCTGAATTCTTGTTCTTCGTCGACCATTGTCCGCTTTCATCCGGTCTCCGGACTGCCTCTACTCCGACCTTTAAATATTGTGGTAAACTCCTCTTATTTCGGTGCATGTCCCTCCCACCTTTTTGATTTCTCGCCAATCTCTTCCACGTGTTTCCCGGCCTTTGAACTGTCTATGATGCAGTTCTATGCTTGCGGGCAAACCATGCCCACTTTTACGCATGATCCGTCCACCATTGGAAGTTCACTTCCTTCTCTTCCCCAGCCTCTATTCATTTTTTCCCGATCTCTGAAACTCTTTGGAACCGAGATATAAGTCTGCCAACAGACTCCGCCATCGTTAACTGCTATTAGTGGGCGGTGCATGCCCCGCCCACCATTGGGAGTTAACTTCATTTCCTTCGTTGATCACTATTCACTTTTCCCCCGGTCTCCAGAAGCCCTTGAGACCGAATTATAACTTCGACGCAAATTCCGCGCACAGTGACGCACGCCCCACCCACCAGTAGCAGTTGACCTCCCTTCCACTGTCAGTCTCGATCCACTTTTTTCCCGGTCTCCAGGACCTCTTGGGACCGAGTTATTTATAATGTTTCGTGGATCGCCCCTTCGGTGCATGCCCCGCTCACCAATATAAGTTGACTTCATTTCCTCCGCTGACCTCTACTCACTTTTTTCCCAGTCTCCTCAACTTTTCGGAACTGGGTTATAAGTTTGTTAACGAACTCCGCCCATTTTTGTGCACGCCACGCCCACCATCAACATTTAACCTCCCCTTCCTCTTTGACCTGTATCCTCTTTTTCCCCTCTCCAAGGCTTCTTGAACCGAATTGTGCGGACTTGTAGGAAGAGCTGCGACTTCAGGGCACGCTTCGCCCATTGTGAGCCTCCGTTCAAGTCATGTGGCTGGGAACACCTTAGACATTGCTCCGCTGCGCCGATTTTTTCATGCTCTATAGACTCACCTAATCGAGTTTGAACTTTTTCAATAAGTACTTTTTTTTTAGAAAACGCCCCGCTCACCGAGGGTGCGTCTCCCTGGTTCAATGTGATTTACCAATGCACACCTTCACTCACTTTTTTCCCCACTTTCGAGGCTGTTTTGTAATAGAACGTGAAGTCTTGGCCGTCAGTACAGTTTCCTTTCGATGCACGCCATGCCTGCTGTGGGCGGTCCGCTTAGCTGATATGTGTCTTGTACTTTCGCGAGACTTGCCAACCGTCTCAACACTCACTGGTCTCTCCATGCGGATCCTAAGAGCTAGGGATATTCGTGACAGACATACAGAACGACAGACGAAGCACTTTATAGCAAGTAGAGTATTAAGTAACTCACGCCTGAAAGTGTGGCAAAGGGTCAGTTTTCTGTGTGTGAATGTGAACGAAGGTCATTGTGGACGGAAGCGGTGACAATGTGGCTCCCACATACGTAACGCATGCGCGAACAAATAGCGCTGCAAGGGAGTGTAGCAAGGGAGCTGCGAGACAAAAAAAAAGTTGACAGAGCGTCTGTGTTGAATGACCGGTAACTTGGACGTAGAATCGTGCTTTGGCCTTTACATACAAAGCTCTCTCTCCTTTCTGTATCTGTTGCTTTTGTGAAGAATACTTACTACTTAGACATTGGATGGCGCTGACAGTCGTAGTGTATCATCAGCAAGTGCCCTGGAATCAGACAATTTCGAACTAATTAGCAGGCTGACGACATTGCAAAGAACTCATGCAGAGACTCTAGATCGCGTAAGTTTTAGTAAAGGTAGTGTCGTGCTCATTTGCCGCTCACTTTCCAGATACTGTTTTAGCTAAATGCGCTCGAGAACGAGAATGCGCGGTTGAACAGTGAAATTAGTGAGAAAAGTGAACTTATCGAGCACTGGATTAGGAGACGACCGCTAGCGCAGGGCGCTGGTGTCACTACGCCATCGAAAACAGAAGGTAAGGCAGTTTTAATAATATTTGGAATCACTTCTTCTTTGTTCGAGATTAAATTCGGGCACTAAAAAGTAAAAGTATCTCTCAGAACGGGTCAATCTCTCCTTATACTGTGATATGTAACGTTGAATGGTCGCGTAGGAGTGGCAGTATCTCATCCTTGCACCAGAGGGACCCGTCCCCGCCCCTCATTCTATACTACGCTTAGGGGAGACAGAATTGCGTCATAGCAATCGCCATTCGCGTGATGTTGCAGCCACCATCCCTTCCTCCCTATTGGGACGCTTCCATGAGAGATCGAGCTGTTTGGAGTTTACAAACGCAGAGTATGGCTGGTCCTATGACGCTACCCTGTCTTCCAGCGGCGGAGGACGCGTCCTCTTGGGAGAAGAGTAGGATACGGCACAGCTCTTGAGGCAACAACTTTTCGAAAGTTAGGTATGCGGACATGCTTGTTTTAACTGAAGTTGTTTAACAACATTTTTTGACGCATTTGTGGAATATTTTGTATTTTTGCCGCAGTCTTACAATACCAGAAATGAATACTAAAGTTTGTTTAGGAAGATGACTGTTGGTCCATTTCGTCCTAATCTGATCCTAAAAATCCTAGTTGGAGGCAATCTTCCTAATGAGATGGGTGAAATTTCCGTCTGGAAGATGAATATCACTGAACCATGAGGCATAAATAAATGTCTTGATACGAGAGGCGGTAAGCGGGAAGGCCTTGGGCAAGTGGCATCCAGGGGCAGTGTTCCCGTGCTGGCCTTCCTAGCTCCTCCTCAGTGACTACTGACCTTACTTGCTCACGGCTGCAGCACGTCAGTGAATGAGCTTCTGCAATCCTTAAGGATACGTAATGTCTCAAAAGATGGAAGTTGTTGAAACAGAGAGCAGAATTGATGGTTTACAGAGAGGATAGAGAGTTGCTCGAGGAATGCTTTTTTTCAATTTTTACGAGATTTTGCCTTTGTTAGGAACGTTCCGAAAACTCTTGCTCTCAACATTGCCAACTGACGAGGCCACGAATGATATCAAAGAAATGAATAAAAAACTTCAACGCATGTTGGAGGAGACATTATCGAAGAACATCATTCTTCAAAGGGTGAGTTTTTGGTTTTCTATTTCTCGTCCAGCATTGCCCCGGAAGATACTAGTGATCGGTGTGAATTGTCGAATCTTCGAATAGTGGGAAATATTTGAAAAAAAAAACTGGAATTATTGGAACGTAATCCGTTGTACAAAATTGAACATTGATCTAGGTTTTTTAGGATCTGCAAACACTCTTGGAACGAACAGAAATGTAATTGGCCTCAAAGAGAAGGTCGGTTGAGGCAGTTGTCATTGCTAGGCTTCAGTTTCATTCACTTCGGCCAACGAAAGCTACTATTGACTTTCCATTTGTCAGGTATTCATCACTTTTTTGCTAATCACTATTGTATATACAACTAGTATCGTTGGGATCATTCCACTAGTTAGAATATTTGCGGCTTCTAGAGATGTATTGTAGTTGACTTTATTATAATATTGTTTTTTTTGTCATGTTAGTTCTTTACAAAGTGATTTGAATCTTCCGTATAGGATTTTTAATAACCGCATTAATACACTGAATATATTCTAGCATAACTATTGCAGCATTATATGAGTTACTAGTCGCTTTAGTGTGCAGGCTGATTGTGATATTTTTTTGTATAATACGTGACTTCGGAGCTAAGGTAGTGGTATCTCCGGCTGCGGGAGCAATGCAGTGGTGTTTTGTACATGTTTCTTGTTTACTGCCCTTCACAGATAAAAACGCACCTGCCACCATTCATAATAGCTTCTAGAAGAAAGGACATTAACTGGTGAATAAGCACATTGTAAAGTTCTGTAGGCTTTCATCTTTACTTGTATGTAAAGCTTTTCAGCTACAGTCAAGCAATAATATTTCACTACAACGACTGAAATATGGTGGTCTTTACAGTTTCGAATTCCGCTATTTAGTCCCTGGTCACATTGTATACACAAATTGTAAAGTTTCGTTCCAAATTTATGAAAATTCTATAATAAAGGTGTACATTGAATTGTTTCAACACGTGAGCGAATCGTTTTTAACTGTACTACATCGATTTCTCTGTTTCTGAATTTACAAAAGTATTGTACTTAGTAGACGCTAATGTGCAGAAATTTCTCAAACGATGCTGGAAATCGATGATACTCCTGGAGGCGCCGGTTCAGTTGAATCATCGCTTCTCGACCATAGCATGAATAGCTCCAATGTTCCAGTTAATCAGGTGAGTTCATACCAATCTTCAGAGTGGACGAAAACCTCTGGAAGTCCATTTTAGCCGTCATTACTCACTGAGACTGATGTGAAGACGACTTGGACTTTGCTACAGTCTATAACGCATGGTAATAAGTATTCCTGAGCAATGTTTGTATGCATAGCAGACTTGCGTAGATTTCATTAATTAGTTCCCTGGAATGGGGGTCTTCACTTTATGTGGTCGTGGAACACATTAGAAATGGGGTGTGACTCTCAAGCAGCAGACTTGCAGTTTTTGGAAGACCCAGAACTGTTATAAGAGTCGACGCTTGTGATGCTTAAGTTTCTTCTTCAGCCTTTCATAACGACTAGCGGGTCAAAAAGTTTCTCTTTCCACGTTCCGCTCAGCTTAAAATTGATGCTACTTAGTACTAGGTTTCAAAATTTATACCACCACTTTAAGCATGACGTGAAAAAGCAAGGTTTCACTTTTAAGATGACTATCATGGATCACGTTTTGAACCACTCCTGTATTGTATTAAGTAATTCATTGATGAAACAGCTACTCCACTGATTTTTTCCTTGCTTATTTCAAATGGAGAAGTGGGTTCTCCAGGAGTTGCTGCGAAAAAGTGTCCATATTCCCTAGGTTGTGGGATGTTTTGAAGAAAAATGAGATTTGTGCCTCTCTTCCTACATTATGAATTGACCAGATTGGTCCCCCGGCAACCGCCGGGATCTCCCTTCCCTGCGTAAGCTAGCTTTCCTCCTTCTGTACTGGTCCTCTCCTCCTCCGTTCATTGCTCTCCAGCTGCCGCAGCAGCACCCTGCGGAATGACCGAAAGGTGCTAAGCACATGTTTATATAGCCGTTGGGATGTTATCACAATCATGTCATTGCAAAACATTGAAAGAGCAAACCCTGTGAGCTATCCAGATTTGTTAGCAGCTTGTTTATCATTAGCTCCAACATACATACAAGCCGACACACCAAGCGGTTTATATGATAGGACCAGGTTTGCTCCGCTCGCTATCGCGCGCATCACAGGGTGGAGAGGAACCACGGACCCATAGCATGACGGCACCATGTTCTCCCTCCCTTTCTCTTCTCCCCCTTATCTCTCTCTTTTTCTCTCTCCCACACCTACGGCCTCCCCTTTCTTGCCCCCTTCCCTCTACCCCTCTTCCCTCTACTCCCCTCCACCCGCCCCTCCCCTCCCGCTCATCCGGCTGCCACGAGCACCATGTAGAGTGAAACTGAGTGTGTTCGATTGGTGTTTATATAGCCGCTGTGGGTGTTATCTTGATCATGACATCGACATCTCGAAGTGTTGCCCTTCGTGCTCCCTGGTTTTGTGAGCGGTCGGTTCGGACGGACAGAACAACGCACACGCACACACGCACACCGGCAAACCGACACAACAAAGTTCTGGTTTATATAATGAAGTGATATAGGTAATACGTGATTACTTGTGGGCAGATGCTGCGAAGTGTACTTTCCAGATTGAGCTAGGCGAGGAAGAAACAGTCGAGCCACCCGTTAGCGCTGAATCGGTACTCGATCGCCTCTCAAAATTTCCATATCAAGTATTTGTCTTATCCGAATATGGGAGGCCAATATTTGTGTCGTAAGTCTTGTTTTTCGTCACTGCTTTCTGTTATAATATGTCACTACTTTTTTCGTGAAATACTCTGTGGTCTCCGTTATTTTTGTGATTGTTATGCAAGACACTCAGTTTTTGTCGGTGGTTGCTATAAATTAATTGACA